CAAATACACATGGATGGATCCGCGGCCGGCGGCTCCGAGCTCCGGTTCTCGGGTCTTTCTCTTTCTTCTCCTTCTTCCAGATGCTCCTGAGGCGTCCAGAACATTTTGTGAAGCTGCAGTTTTACTTATATTTGCTGTAGGTTTTCACAAAGATGTGGTGATCCGATCCCGCCCATAACTCACTGATTGACTAAGACAACTGTCAAACTCCAACTCATCCTCACATTGACTTGAATTGTACGGGCCTTTGTTACCTGCAGGGCAGAGTCCTGCACCAGGTCGGGTTCCCGCGAGTACCCGACAGGTACGGGCAAATAGCTGCTGAAATGGGCGGGTTTTAACAATCTGGAATTTTATGGGCGGGTAGTGATTGCACACGGGCAGCTCAGAACTAAACCAGGACTACACCAGGACTACCATATTTTCCGGGCTATTAGACGTGCCCACAATCCAGAGCGCCCCTGTGGGGAAGCTGGCCCAAGTGGTCAAAATGAGAGTCCAGTGCAAAGTTGTCCTTCACCAAACCAAATTCTTTATTGGATCTTTCCAAGTCGTGGGCAAAATTATATACATATTTACAAAAAAGAACTGTGCTTAACTAAACAAAAGCAACAGAAAATAACGCAACAAAAGAAAATACCCACAGGCACCTGGCTGCACTGATGGTGACCTCCTACTGATTAAACTGCCTCTACTTATATACCCCCCAGAGAGGAAGCCCCTCCCCCTGGGTTCACACCAACTTACGGGGAAAACTGTAGCAGTTTCCTTTCCTTACTGGTGCTGCCTTAAATTATTTACTGAAGCCTAATCCCCCTTTTAAACTGAACAGTGTCCAACTTAACTAGATACACTGAAACCAAAATTCTAATAACCCATTTGATAAAACAAAGAACCATTTCCGAGGCTTCCCTCCACATGGTCTGGGCCAACACCTCCCCCTGCCAAAGGACACGCCCCCTCTTTTGTTCCCAGACCATGTGGAGTCACAGGTAAAGGTGGTAAGTTTAAACAAAAATGAAGGGATATAACCAAATAAAATGAATTTAAAGTAACTGTGTGAATGTGATCAATTAAACAAAGACTAAATAAAACAAACCCGGGATAGTTATTATTTAGCTGTTTAGTTGATATAGATGTAACTGAACTAAGGTAAAAAATGGGGACAAAGGCCGTCTTTGTCACAGCCCCATACACGAATCCACTCTGGTGTCCCAGCACGACTTCAGTAAACTACAAACCCGCACCACCCGCAGAACACACAAACACACAAACACACAAACACACACGGAGCAGACAGCGACCGCACAGAGAAACACACCCACAGACACACTCATCACTCCACGCCGACGAGGAACGGAACGGAGGAACGAACCGAAAAAGTGATGAACGCGACGAGTGCTTCTAGACACGACTGAACAACTGAGTCACTGCGAACACGTCGACAATCCAGCGACAGACACTACTCCCTACACGCCACAACTGAACAAAGCCAGAGTCACCGTGAACGAACAAACAAACAAAACCACTCACCCATCACACTGTTGGGTTTCCTTTAAAGTCCCACGAGGTTTATTTGTGAAAAAAGTTCAAAAATAGACCATTTAATGACAGTGCGATTTCTAATCCAGAGCGACTAATAGTGCAGAAAATACGGTAATCTTGGATTTAAGAGAGAGAACCCCGAGTCCGTGGAGCAGGGTGTCTGTAAAGCCTGATCTGGCCACGGCTTTTACATTCGTGTAGTGTGGAGCTCTACGCCGGTCCTTTCACAGTCACCCAACAGTCCACCTCAGGCTCACCCCGAGTCCTGGTTCAGTCCTGGTTTAGTCCTGGTTCAGTCCTGGTTCAGTCCGTGGCTTGTGCGGCATCTCGATCAGTGTTTCTTCTGCTCAGTAAATAAAGCCTGATGACAGTCGAGTCGCGTCTGTGAATTCGTGTTCGTACTGAACAAAGTGGAATTGTTTTCATTTCATCATTGTAATTCTTGAAGTCGTAACTTTTCAATTTTTATCTGATGGATGTTTTTATTTTGTGTGTGAATTTGTGGCACAGGCGGGTAATGGGTTGAATCTTAACGGGTCTGGGTTAGGGATGGGCATGATTAATCGATTAATCGATAATTGATCATTAAGAATTTCATCGATTACATTCATTTTAATCGACAAACTGAATGTATGTTTGTGTGTCGTGACCAAACAGGTGTGTACATGTGTCTCTGCATCAGAAGGAGCGAGACACAAACAGTGGGTCAGTCTGTAACGAACCGAAGCACAAATGTGGATTTAACCAGGATTTGTAGAAGAAATTCCACACTTTCCGTTGCGTTGGACAAGTGTGAGTCCATGTGCACAGTGGATAAAGCAGCACATATGTTTCTGTGTCCAGTGGGAAAAAGTTTTTCCAGGTGAGAGTCGCTCAATGTGGATGACGAGGCCCCGCCCCCTCCCCCCGTACGCTGTCCTGGTTTTGACAAAAACACAAATCTGGTCACACTGAC